TTAAATATAACGATTATGTTTATTTAAAAAGAGTTGATGGGCAAGCTGGCCCGGGTGACTTCTGACTGGCCCATCTTGATACTTGAACAGTAGTTTTGCGGGTGGGCCAGGCCCGCCCTCTGAGGTTTACAGGAGGGCCTGCACCAGGTCCAGGCCTGCCTGAGGCTCCAGCTCTGGAAGGGTCTCTTCAAGCAGCAGAGCCAGGGCTTGGCCTGCAAAGCCAGAACTACCATTCGGAGGAGGGCCAGGCTGGCGCAGGGCCAGAAGCGGCCGGAAGATGGGGGGACTCAGCACACCCAGTCCTTGGGCGCCACAAGGGCCTGGCCAGGGGGACCCCAGACCACCCGCAGGGCAGGCCTCACCCAGGAACGATTTTTGGTCTGAGGTGACCTTTTATTTCTCTAAGTGACGCATGTCATCTTCATGAATGAGGTGTTTTCTAAAACAAAGAATAAGCCTCTACACCTTAAAACAAAACAAAACAGAAAAGAAACGATCCTGTAACTAAAGCACTTGGTATCTCCCAGAAGGAATTACTGAGTTTCCAATAAAGACAAGATATTTTTATGGTATTTTTCTCTCAATATAAGTGAAGCAAAGACATTATCATTCGAGACCTATCAAATAATTTGTATATGTAATTACACCTGCAATGCAATAAATATGAGTGTAACTGATAAGGATGACATTCACTTTATCCTGAGAGGATGCTACCAATCCTAATACGTCTAACACTACAAATAGGTCAAGTTTACTGTCCTGGGTTCCCACACAGCAAGGTTTCGGTTGCTCTGAGAAGCATCTGTGTCATGAGCAGCACTCAGCTTTCCCCGCAAATGAAAGAAAATGTCCTGTCCATGTGATACAGTGATACATCGCACCATCGCATGATTCATAAATCAAATCTTCTGTCCATTTTATGCAAATCTGCTTCATTTGTAACTGTTCACATATATGGAAATGTCTCAGCTCAAAAAAGACAATAGGATGCAAAGCTGAAAAAAGATACTTTCACAAAAACACATTTAAAAAAATTGATTTTGTCTAATTACATTTGGAATTGGAACTTTTCTTCTGTCAAAGACCATGAACACAGTCCTTCTCACCCAGACCATTGGAATCAGCATGTCCAGTGGAAAGTTCCCAAAGTCACAGTGTACACTGAGAAAAATCAGATTTTAAAGTGCCCTGGAAAGTAAATGTGATTCAAGGAAACAACATGGAATATATTAAATGCTGAATTCGACTGGTAATAGAATGAGTTGAGACTAGTATAATTTAAAATAACCTTAAAAATAGATACATTTTAAAAAGTGTTCAAAATAAAAAGCACTGTACTTGAAGGTGTTCCCATAGTGCTGACGGCTCAAGCTGCTATCTTTCCGGGGTGGTGGTTTAAATAGTAATATCAGAGATGCCTGGTGAACGTTGTCATGGAGCTGCTCCCTTAAGCTAAGTTGCAATACAATCTCACATCCTCTAGAAGCAAGATCTATTTACATGTGACGATTTCAAGTTCTATCCTCAGGTACCTGCGCGCATCGTGATTAAGCCCAGACCTGCAGACACAAACAGATAATTTTTAGTCTGTTTTCAATTAACCACTTGCAAAACCCAAGTTTAAAGAGATAAAATCAAAGTCTGCTCCACACAAACACACACACCTCATCCAAAATAGAGCAGTCACATGTCTTGAAAGGATGACATTACTCTTAGCAACTCAAAAGTGCTTCTTTGGCTCTGGCTCCCCGCCTCCCTTAGTTAATTGTCTGAAGGGCATCGGTGGCCTCCTTACCAGGGATGGTAACTCCTGCATTGACAACCAGCACCCTCTGGACCCACTCAGCTCACTGGGTACGTTGATGTGCTTTACTAATTTAGGAAATCTCACCCAGAACGATGAAGTCACAAACAACTTGACTATTTGTCTCAGGAACTTGGCAAAAATCCTTTTATCTATTTACCCTAAGGCTAGACGACTCAATTACCCTCTTTAGAAGAGCTAGTCACTTCTCAGGATGATACAGAGCATCAAATGACTGGCTAGTTTTCAAGGCCGTCTTTGAAATTCTCTCCCTCCTCCAACCCCGTGTTCAACACTCTTAAGCTATGCCACAAATCTGTCCAATCCTAGCCTTAAACCAGACTCCTAAAACCTCATGAGTATCTGCTTTTGCTCTCCCCTTCAGAAATGCTAGTAAGACTGTCAAGTCTGTTATCTCCCACAGTGAGGTAGGCTTTGATGTACACGTTATTTTGGTGGTACTTCTAGGGAGCTAACATCTGACAAAGTCATGAAGTTCTTTAAGAATCTATTATCTAATAAAAGCAATGAGGATCCTTTTTCCTGGAAAAATGCACACAATTTGGCATATAATTGTAGGGGCTTTATAGGTCTCCTAAAGCCCCCGTGTACACTTCACAGGGGTCTGTGACCACAGAGCAAGAACCCTGCACCACTGGGAGGTGAGACTGGCAATCTGGTCTGTTAAAGGTTAGACTCAGACTTTCAGGGTGTCTGACTGATGGGGAACCCACTACCTCCGCAGGCAAATCATCCCCCTGTGGCTATCAGAATTGAAACTGGAGCTCTATTTGGCTGCCCAGGCCCATCCTAGCTTACCCTGACCCCTCTGCTTTCAGAAAGGCTAATCACTTCTGCTCTCACACACAGAGGAAAGTAGAAAAACTTCTCCCTTACTCTGAGGGTGTGATCCCACGATCCTGAGCAAAAAGCAGTCCCATCAGGGGACACTCGTAGAGTACTAACACGGTTTTCATGTCCAAACAGGATGGAGACTCGGGACCCCTTGAGGACATCCCAGACGTTGATGGTATAATCGTTGTACCCAGCAAACAGCAGGCGACCTTAAAGTGGGAGGACAGGATGGTTTTTAAATCAGTTCCTTTCTTCTTGTTTTTCTTTTCATGACTCTTACTCATGGGCTCGCTTGCTCATTCACTCATTTATTCATTCAGTAAACAGGGATTTGGTGCCCACTACGAGCCAGGCACCTTGCTTTGCTCTGGGGATTCAAAGAGGAGAAAGCACAGTTGCCCCCTGTGGAGGGTGGTATCGGGCAGGCTGCGTGGTTAGGGCTGTAACAGAAGTGCTCAGCTATGTGTAAAGTGCTGTATGATCACAGAGCAAGGGGGATCCAGGAGGGCACTGCAGGTGAAGCGACATCTGAGTTGGCCTTTGAGGGATGAATAGGAGTCTGCCCTGCAGGGGAGGGAGGGAAAAGATGTCCTGGGCAGCAGCAGCAGCATGCTTGCACAAAGGCACCGCTGCAGAACAGGGGGGTGTCTGGGGGAACTGAACAGCCCCATCCTGTCAGTGCTGCCCGAATTTTCACCGGCGGCTTCCCCAGCTGGGAGGGCAGAGGTGCCCCGAGCCCCAGGGCATTAAGAAAGGGACTCTTGCTTCACTGCTTCCACCTCTGAAAAAAGTCCCTTTTCAGGTGCGAAGGGGAAAATGGAAGGCTGGGGAGGACATGCCTAGAGGCTCTGCAGATGGAGTTTTGATCCGTGATTGTCTTGAAGATGAGCGTTAGGTGGGCCCAGCCTTCAGTCCCCCCTAAGTGAGCGGGGCTGGGGAAGCCGCTTCGGGCAGGGCCAAGCGAGGGGTCACAAACGCAGTGAGCGGAGGGAAACCAGCGCAAAAAGAGACTCTAGCACCGGGGCCCAGGGGAAGCCTGACGGAGAGCCGCGTTTCGCTCAGGTCCTGGCGTACAGTCCCGGGAAAGCTTCTGAAACGAAAGCTTACCGCTGAGGGAGAAGTCCACGCTGGAAGCTCCGAAGATGATACTCTCTTTGGAATAGATGGCGACCTCCCTGTCTGCCCGGAGGTCGTAGAGGCGACACTGGGTGACAAAGGAGACAAAGAAGCACTTGTTTCTGGATCCTGTTTGGTGCCTGAATGACGTCAGAGCTACGGCCTGGTGCCGGCGGCTTGTGGCGTTTGAGGGGTGAGGGGCAACCTCTTTCGTTCTCTCCCCTAGTGTTTTCTCCCTCAAATCCGATTCTTGGTAATCTCCACGGATTACTGGAGATTCAAATAAACAGCCAGTACAGACTTCTTTGGGTACAAAAACAGAAATGAAAGCCCTCTTTTCTAATTTTTGATGAAGAGTATGTGTTCATTGTAGAAAATTCAGAAAAACTCAGAGAGGCATAGAGAAGGAAGTAAAAGTTACCCCCTATCCTAGAGGCATTTACTAACATCTGGGCCATTTCCTTTAGTCTTATTCTATTTTATGTGTGTATTTAAATGGGGTGGATGTTTCATTACTGTTCCTATTAGCATTATGTTATGAGTATTTTCTCATGTCATTAAATAATCTTGATGAACATGGTTGTTATAGTACTCATGTGGATACATCAGAATCTACTTAGCCATAGCCTGCTAAGTGTTTCGATTGTGTCTAATTTGTCCCTTTTATAAATCAAGTTATGGGGAAGCCATGATCATTTTTTTACACAAATTGCTATCTGCATCTCTGACATTTTCCTTAGAATAGCTAAGCCTTAGAATAGAATTGTTTCCAATACATAGCATGGCCAGATCAAAGGGCAGGGAAGTTCTGAAAGCTCTTGATTCATATCACAAAACTGCCCTCCAGACGAAGGTACCAAAGGGCCTGACCCAGGCTCGCCCAAGGTTCCTTTACTGCACTGTCTCCAACAGTGGGCATTTCTTGGCAAATCCAAGAGGCAAGTGAGGATCTGATCACTGAAACTTGCACTTCTGGGATTACAGGTGACTTGCAAAACACTTTGGTGGTTGGGAAGGTAGAACTCAGTGGTAGAGCGCATGCTTAGCCTACATGGGGTCCTGGGTTCAATCCCCAGTGCCTCCACTAAAAAATAAAAATAAATAAATAAACAAGCCTAATTACCTCCCCACCAAAAACAACAACAAAAGTAATAAAAATTAAAAGAAACCATTTTCAGTGTACTGTACAGGAATTATATCGCAGTAAAGGTGAATAAAATAAAATGGGATCAGAGATTTGCTTTAAAAAAAAAACCATTTTCAGGGGTTTGCCATTTTAGATTTACTGCTCTGTAGATGGTCTGCATTTTATCCTCTTTTTATTTTTTTTTATTTTGTGTGTGTGTGTGTGCACGCGCACACACACGTCTTTTTTTTTTATCCTCTTTTTAAATGAGGGTGCTTATCTTGGTTATGCAACTCCATTCATACCTAAAGGAGTTGAACTCAATCTGTCACACATATGGCATGAATTTTCCCAAAATGTATGCTCTTATATTTTGTTATATATGTTTTGACATAAAGAAGTTTTACATTTTCATTATTATCAAAACTTTCAATCTATTCCTTTGTAATTTCTTCCACAATAGCAAATTAGGATGGAATCCATTATTTAATAAGATACTTGATATTTTGGAGGCACAAGAAGGTATTTTTTTCTTGAAAAATAGGTCAACAAAATTTGACAATTCATATCAAAAGCCTTAACATTAGGCTGATTTTTGCTCAGCAAGGTCATGTCTGAGAATTAATTCTAAGGAAATAATAAGAGAGGTACCAAAAATATTTGCTTATGGTAATGTTTCAAACAGGAAAAAAAAACCTTGAAAAAAAATGTCCAAATGTGGAAGACTGGTTAAGTAAATGATGGCATGTCCATAACATGAAAAACTATTCAATCACTAAGAAAATATAATGTAGAAAAATATTCACTGGTGTGGGAAAATGTTCACAACTACTGCTAAGTGAAAAAAGCAAATTATAAAGCATTTTGTTTAAAAAAGTAAAAAGACAGAAAGGAATTCACTCAGCTTGAATTTTCTGGGTTAGAAAGATTAAAGGTAATCTAGTTTTCCCCCCAAGTTTTCCTTACTGAATTCACATTACTTCTGTAATCAGGAAAAAGGTATTTTTGAAAAATAAAAATAAGTCAGCATAACTCTCTTTCGAAGAGGAAAAGCTCGCAGTAACTTAGAAACATACTGTAGCATCATCTGACCCCGAAGCAAAGGCGTCTCCACTCGGGTAGTACCTGCAGAGAGAGAGTGTGGGGAGAAAGCACTTTACTCAGAGTGGTGATTCCTCATTGTGGATGCCCATCCAAACCAACAAGGAGGGCTGTCCTGTGCTCGGCCGTCCAAGTCCCAATCTCCTCTTCTAGGGACACAAGGACCCCTCATTATGGAGGCCAGAAAGGGAGGCTCATCACGAAGGCCCACTGGCCTCTAGTTTTCTTCTCTGTAAGCAGAGGACAGTGCCGCTGGCCGGGCAGAGTGCTGGTGAGGAGGAAATGAGGTAATACGTGTATCTGCACCAGGCACTGACCACAGAGCAGGCCCCCAGTATCCCTGGTGTCCCTTGATCACAATTCCATTCCCAAGACTTGGCTCAGAGCTCAGGCTTAGAAAGTGGTCATAAACACAGGCACTGCAACACAGAGCCACACGCAGCGTTCTGTACTCACTGCATGCGACACTTCGGGCAGGTGGCTTTACCTGGCCCAGGCTTAGTTTCATCTGAAAAGTGAGGAGGACAAAGCGCATTCCCTGCTGTGAAGACTGAGTGAGACAGCATACGCAAGAATGTGGCCCAGCGCCAAACAAAGGGCTCGTAATACATGATGGTTATGACTGTCACCCTCATCCTCGGCTCCACAGTCAGGCTTCCTGGAGAGATGGAAGTCTAAGCTGAGACTTGACGGACGTTAGAGCAAGAGGGGTCTGGGTAGAGGGCACAGCACGGGAGGGAGAATGTGCACTTCTCAGCTGTTACTTCATGAATATACAGGGGTTTAATTTATTTCTGTCTCTTTCTAGTCTCTCCTTAATAACTTAATCTAATAACTTCAGTTGCTATCTGTAATAATTTCTTGATTGATTTCCTTTGATTTTCTAGGTAATTACTGCACTTTTGCAAGAAGCGATATTTTCCCCCTTTTTTCCTTTCCTACATTTGAGATAAGAGAACTAGAAAATTCTCATGAACATTCCTACTACTAACGTAATTAAATATTCTTACTGTGTTCTGGCTTTTAATAATTCCCCTTAAAATTAAGGGGAATTATTATGCCATTATGCCATTAAGCATAATGACAATTCTTGATTGATTATACTTTAATTCCTGTCCTGACAGTGCCAGCTTCCAAATGTACATGTCAGGTCCTGAGCTCTCTCATGGGATCCAGTTCACAGATCCTGCTACCTCCCCGACATCACCACTTGGTTGTATAACAGGAACCTCATATTTCCCTGGCCCAAAACAGAGCTCCAGGATCCATGTGCAATAACTGTTTCTTCCCTGCCGTGCCTCCAGTCCTCCTGGTCTTAGCAAATGGATCAGTGCTTACTTCCCCTTATAAAAGATGTGGGTTCCCTGAGTTCAGGGTTCTTCTGCTATAATGCAAACCCTCTGCATGTGCAGGGGTCATCTGGCCCTTTTACTGTGGTAACCAGCACAAAAATACTGATACCCTGGCTACTGCCATCACCAGGAGTAATAAACTGCCCTTTTTTCTAACCCAGGAGTCTTGTGCTTCTTAGAGCATCCATGAAACTGTGGCAGCCTTACTTGATAGCTTGCAGCTAGAGTAAAATCTCATATCCTTCTCAATTCTAGGCGTTTCTGTCCTCACTGTGTCTTCTTTAGTGTCAGCCACCATCATTTCTTTCCTGAGCTCACACAGCAACCTTCTAACTGGCTGTCAGGCTTTCATTCCCGCTCCCCTACAATCTGTTCTTCATACAGCAGCCAGAGTGATCTTTTACAGGCAAAGCATGGATCGTGTTAGCTGCCTCCTCAGCTCAGAACCCTCTAGTGGTCACCTGGCCTTGTGTTAGGTCCCTGAACATCTTATCTCCATGTTTTTCCCACCAGCTCTTTGCAAGCCTGGCTCCTTCACTATCCTGGCCTCAGTTTAAACATCTATTTCTCAGAGAGGCCTTTCCGATCATTCTAAGAAATAACCTATCTCGTCACATTTCCCTGCTTTACATTTTTAATAGCACTTATCAGCATCTTAAATTGTCCATTTATTTGTGCTTTGTCTTTGTCTCCTGCAGGAGAGCAGAGATCTTGTTTACCTTTTTGGGAACTGCATTCCCAGTTCCTGGAATAACGTCTAGCATAGAAGTCCTTAGTAAATATTTGTTGAATGAAAAATACTGACTTGATTTAGGTAGGGTAATACCCATTCCCCCTACTACAGCCAAATTAAAATTCTCCGAAAAATCTGGAGCACCACTCGGTCCCACCACAAATCAGCCATTGTTGCTGGAAAGCTTCTCTCGACCAAGTGAACTGAGCCTGGAGGCTAATAAGCATTACCCCAGGCTGGGGAACGCTGGGGGACAGAAAAGCAACGTGAACATTCTACTCACTGACCGGACACTGTTGATGTCAGATTCGTGTGTTTCAAAGGCCTGCACACACTGGCCGGAGCGCATGTCCCACACCATGGCTTTCTTGTCACATCCCTACAAATGCAAAGTTACCCAGAGTTATGGCCACGGCAAGGACTGGCTACTGACAAGCATGAGTTCTGGTTATGTCACAGAAACTGCTTAGTTCCCATTAGTAAATGGCTGAAGATGTGCTTTTCCGAGAGCAGCTTTACCTAGGGCCCCTTTCCTCAACTGATAAGCCCTCAGAGGGAGTTGGGGGAGTAAGAGAAGGCACCCAGACACCCTTCTTAGCATGTTTTCCATTTTTGCACCTTTCTGAGTGGGTGCAAACTCTCCAGCCCTCCTTCTCACCTTCCCCCTGGGCACTTCTCTTCACTTTTTTCTTTCCTTCCCTCCTCCCCTTTATCTCTGCCTCTATCAGCCCAGAAGGGAGGATGTGGTGAGAACTGCCAGCTTTGTCTCAGGGGTAAGGGGCAGCCTGAGCACAGGTGGGGAGCCAGATGCCCCTGGGCCAGCTGTACCCCAGCAGCCTGCCAGGCCGGGCACTGGCAAACCAGAAGCCCAGTCAGGGCGCCGCCAGCAGTCAGCTGGGTGGCTCAGGAAGGTCACCTCCCTGGGTTTCTACCTCAACACCTGTAAGGTGAACCCTCTCTGGGTTGCTAACCTGACCCAGAGAATCATAAACACAAGACTTGCACATTACACTGCCCTGATGCTAGGAGCTTTTTGATAAGTTCCTGCAGAGCAGTCCCGTGAGCAAGCGTGGGTAGTATAATTAAAAGTCAAACAGAAGGAGTAACAGGATAACGTTCATGCCAAGTTGATGGTTTGAACCCAGAGGAAAGCATGAGTAGGAAACCATAACTGGTATCTCAGAAAGACCTGCTGTGGGGTTCAGCATGCCGAGCATCTTTACTGAGAATAAGCACAAAGGACTCAGGGGTGTCTTCATCTTCAGATCTTTAGAGGACCTGAATTAGATGGAGTTCAATATTCTGAAAGAGTTAATATAATCTACGGTGATATCAACAATGTGAAAAGATGGCGTAGCTGAGTAGCGGTAAACACAGTTATACAGACATAGGAATGAAACATACAAATGGGGCCAAATACCCAAGAAGAAAATCCCTGCTGATTCGAGGCCCAGGACCACGATGTGGGCAGCTCGGAGCAAAGGGCCTTTATGTCTTCCGGCTGCAAACGTCATTGGATGGTGTTCGCATCACTGTCCTCTCTTACCACTGCCTCCGGACGGAGGTCCTGAGGAGCCAGGACCCAGGGGGCAGGTTGGCCAGATCACTCCTCCACGCTTATTCCCAGGTGGCTACAGAAATACTCACCTCTCCTACTTGCACATGTTATAAACTCTTCACTGCTCATAATATCCTGGGGAAGGTGGGGGGCAAATGCTATTGTGCCCTATGCCCAATTTACACAGGACGGAATGCAGAGTCAGGTAGCAAAGGTGGGGCCCGGGTGTCCTGACTCCTAGTCTGTTGCTCCTTTGCCTTGGTGGCCTGCTTGCCTGACTCTGAGTCTTCAAATACACTGTTCCCTGTACCCAGGAGTGGGAGGGTCTGGTGATCGGCAGGGGTGGGGCGGGAGAGTGTCCCACCAGCACCAAAGCCCTGATCACACCTGCCACCTGCACTGCCTGGTGCCCTTGGAGCAGTTTCTCACGCTCTCAGATGCTAACTCTCTGCTATCCACTTGAGGAATGACAGTTTTAAATGTGGCAGCATTCCCACCCGGAGAACATTCCAGGTCTCTCTGCAGACTGCTGACTATCAGTGGCAGCAGGGGAGCCCCACACAGCCCAGTGCTGGGATGCCCACCAAGCACGGCCACTGCAGCAGGAGCAGAGGACAGCTCCCCAGCCCCTTCTAGGGAAGTGTCCAGTCTGGTCCCATGAACTGACAGGAACCACGACCACAGGCCTCCCTCGTGGACAAATGACCCCCAGAGGTCTTCCTTAGGTCTTTACCCCGGACACGAAGGTGTTTCCGGTCTCCGAGGGGGCCAGGTCCAGGCAGAGCACGTCGGCCCCGTGCCCGTGGAAGCTCTGCAGCAGCTGCCCGCTCTCCACGTCCCACAGGGCGCACGTGCCATCGCCACTCGCCGTCAGGATCTGCGGGGGGAGGGGCAGGATGGGGGTGGCTGTCAGGATTACTCCTGTCAGGGGTGCCAATCAGCTGCTTAAAGTTCCAGAGGGAAGAGGAGGCTCCTTACACACGCACACGATGCACACACACTAAATCTAGACTCAAGCACAGAACTCCTTCTCCCGGACTGAGACAGGACTGGCTCATTTTCGACACCCTTGCTGTCCTTGAGCTGTGTGTTTACGTGCCTGCCCGGGAGTAGGAAACCCACAGGCCTCTCCGCGGTCCCTGCGGGCTTGACACCTGCCTGGCACGTAGAAGTGCTCTGTGAGCGTTTGCCAAACACAACCTCGAGCAGCTCCCACAAGCAGCCAAGCCCACTGTTGTGCTTCCCAGATGTTAATGTGCGCCCTACCCGCTTCGCCCTGCTGCTTGCTCATCTAGAGCTGGGGTGGGGCCTGAGACTCTGCATTTCTCACAAACTCGCAGGTGATGTCGACACTGCTCGGCAGGCCCCATCTGGAGCATTTTGCTAGACACATGCTCCTGTTGCTCCATCCGCCAGAGGCTCTGAGAGGTGCCGACACTCACACACACACAGGGCCAACCAGCATCTGCGATGTGCTAATGATACCCAGGCGCTCTGCTAGGCATTAGGATTTGCAGAAAGATTGTGTTCTTTTTTTTTTTAAATATGCATCTAAATTTTATTGGTTGTTATTCCGATTTTTTAAATTGAAGTGTAGTCAGTTTACAACGTGTCAATTTCTGGTGTACAGCATAATGTTTCAGTCATACATATGCATACTTTTCATGTTCTTTTTCATTATCAGTTACTACAAGATATTGAATATAGTTCCCTGTGCTATACAGAAGGAACTTGTTGCTTATCTATTTTATATATACTAGTTAATATCTGCAAATCTCAAACTCTCAATTTATCCCTTCCCACCCCCTTTCCCTGCAGTAACCATGAGATTGTTTACTATGTCTGTAAGTCTGTTTCCATTTGTAGATAAGTTCATTAGGGTCGTCTTCTTTCTTTTTTTAGATTCTATATGAGTAATATCACATGGTATTTTTCTTTCTCTCACAAAGATTGTATCTTGGTCTCTGCTCTCTGGGAGCTCAGTTAACAAAATTGGCGGTAAGAACTGAAACCCACCTAACCCCCTGTCCCCACATTAATCAATTCCAGGACCAGGCACACGTTCCTGGTGCTCTGTTAGACAATACCGAGACCAAGTAAAAATAAGCCAGCGGCCTGCTCCAGGAAATACCTGCCCCTGCAAGATAAGGCTGCGAACCAACCAAACAACTTATCAAGACTAATAGCTTTGTAAAAAATTACTGAAACAGAAACCTTAATTAAATAGTTGGAGACCAGAAGGGGGCGCTCTCACACGCTATGATGACAGCAGAGCCCAACACAAAGAAAGACTCCTCTTCCCTGGCAAAGACTCAGCCAGTGAAAAGTCATGGATTCTGTTTACTACAGCCCTTCCAATGTCCTTTTCTCCTCTATAAAACAATTCTCCTTCCCTTGCTGTGTGGGGACCTGCACGTGCCTCGCCATGGTTGTAGACCCTGACCTGCAATTCTCTGCTGATTGTGAATAAACCAATACCTGCTAGAGAAACAGCTGGCAGTCTATTTACTTCAGGTCAACATCTTACCCACCAAGACTCGGTTTAAGACTCTTCCTGTGCTGGGTTCACCAATCCAAAGCTATTATGTCATAACCAGTTTCCCACCTTGAAAGACCCGCCTTAATATCATTCTCCCTGGACCCTGAGACCCTCTAAGTATGCTTCCCTAATTTCTTTATTTTGAGGAACTACAGCAATTCCGTCAAGTTGGGGATCTCTGCTGCGGCAGGTATAATCAACGTAGTGTTGCTGGTGTTTCTGACGGTCTCGGCATACAAGACAGCAATCACTTGTGATGGAGTGAGAAGTGCTGAGACACTGGTAGGCCCACGGGAGGGGAGCCAGACCAGCTGTGGCAACATCTGAGTTAATCTTAGAGAATGAGTGAGAGCTGGCCAGGGGAGGGGAAGGTGCTGCAGGTGAAGGCCTACCTCTGCGCTGGACGAGAAGTGTGCCTGTGTATAGAGCGAGGATTCTTTCTTCTTCCTTTTTTTTTTTTGCAGGGGGGAGGTAATTAGGTTTACTTATTTATTTGATTTTTCAGTGGAGGTCCTGGGGATTGAACCCAGGACTCAAGGCATGCTAGGCATGTGCTCTACCACTTGAGCTACACCCTCCCCGTTTGTGCATTTATATTTAAAACTAGGGTTCTAAATTTTGTTGCTGCCAGCATGTGTGAGGCTTGGGCTCTGGTGCAGTTGGGAGAAAGGCAGAGGGATCCAGGGCTCATGGTCTCACAGACCCAGCTGATGGCACCCAGAGCCCTGGAGCCAGCTTGGTTCTGAGCAGCCATGGGAGCAGGATCCACAAGGGTTAAGCCCTGGATGGTAGAGCCTCCCTACACCCACTTTCAGACGAGCTGATAAGGCAGCACAGGAAGTGGCTCTTACAAGTGCCCACAACAGAGAACCCTCTGTGGTTGGACATACTGACGGCTGAGGAAAGGAAACAGGAAGTTGGCCTTAGAGGACCGTTAGCATTCAGTGCACCCACTGACCACAATGTATGTCCAGTTTCCACGGGCTGGTGGTCTTCTCTCATCCTCTCCCTCCTTCCCCTTCTCCTCCCTTCTCTCTTGCATGCCAGGCTTAGCATTTATAAAAGAAGCTCCCTTTTTCTGCAAGGGAGGGAATCTACTCCCACCCTGGCCTTGCGCCCGCTGGCCACACCATCTTGGAGTGGGTCTCCTGCCAGCTGTCTGGGGGCCTAGCATCTCCTTGCAGCCAAGAGAGGCCACCTCCGTGGAGAAAGCTGGGTGAGTTCCGGAGCTCTCAGGCTTCTTGGGCAAGGCCCTCAAGGGCCTCTTGAAAGCCCCAATCTCAAATGTGGAGAATCTCCAAGGCTGGGAAACCCCTGAGCTGTCCACAGGCCTCCCTCCAGCATCAACTTCCCTTAAGAGGCCCGTGTACATCCAACAAGATGACCCAGGCAGGGAAAAGGAGCTTATGAACACACAAGACTTCGGTGATGTCTTAATTTGGGTACTTGCATTTTGTCATGTGCTACAATCCCCTCCAGTCTCTGCTGGCCCACACTTCAGTGGAAGCTCCACCTCATTCCTGTCCTAACACGTGCAAAGGGGCCAGTGATCTCCAGTCTCTTTTGGGACATCAGGTCCAAACAAACGGTTGCTTAAATGAGTTCTCCTGTCTAGCTCTTTGATGGGAATTTTCCACACCATACTTTTCAATCAAATAATAGTTTTCAAAAGTTAAAAGTAAATTCTTCATATTTAAAAAACATTTTAAAATATTTTAAGCATTTTTGTGATCTTCATTACAACATAAGTAAAACTAAATTTCAAAAACCAAACGTTCAATTATGATAAATGCACGGAACAGATCCTCTAACTCACTGCCCCTTGTTTATTCTGGAATGTAGAGAATTTTCAGGTCTTACACCAGCCTCTTGAGGTTTTCATTTTTCATCTAACCCGGAGCTGGAAGGAAGCTTAAGGTGCACCAGTTCCCCACCAAGTCAATGAGAGGAGGCTGTTCAATATGGCATGGAGTTCACTCAGCTCTACCAACAGTTAACAGCCCTGACTTCCTCCATTTCTGATTTTATTAAAAATAGTAATACAACCAACGAGAAACAAGAGCTTCCTCTTAGAGCCAAAACCAGGCCACGCCTCTGAATCATCCATGAAGCTTTGTGTTAATATTAATAATAAAATAATAAGAGCTAATATTTATTAATATTTACCAGGGACTGCACTAAGTATTTTACACAAATCATCTCATTCAAACTTCAGAAAACCTGAGAGAGGAATTTACTACCATCCTCACTTGCAGGTGAGAAAAATGAAACACAGAGAATAAAACCTTGTTTAGGACCGACCAGCTGGAATGCTAGACTGAATGTCCTCTGTTGCTTTGGTTGCTCCTCAGGCCCAAAGATACCAGACAGGGCCACAGCGCCCCCTACTGTACAGGCCTGCAAGACTCCTGGTTGCAAACAACAGGTGTAAACACTGCCCTCCAAGTCCCAACGGCCCTCAGGTCAGTAGGGAAGCAATGACCCAGGTCCCTGGTGTCCCTGCCACTACCCTCCCCTTCCCTCCTGACATCAGTCAGCTGAAGCCAGAGGGGCTTTGATCTGACTCAGACCCTCTCCCAGTCTGCCCCAGCCCCCGCAATGGCTCCCTGCAGTCTATAGGGTGAGCGTAGCCGTTCCGGGCACCCTGTGATCTGGGCCTGCCCACGTCTCCAGCCGCCTGCCTCCCACACTGCTCCCCTCACGCCTCACTGACAACACCCTCACCCTCCAAGGCAGCGCCGGACAGCAAGTCCGCGATCCCGCACTCCTGTCCTGAGCTCCCAGCCTCTCCTGCTGTCCAGTCACCACTGGTATCTGGCAACGTGGGTGGTGGTACCTAAGAAGGTTTGCTGGATGCACGGGACAAACAAACTACGGGACGCTTCGTGACTTGTGAAAGAAAGTGTAGCCAAAGTGTCGAATGTGTTGTTTCCACTCTGTGGTTTATTCAAAGTAGGGCACAGATGTACTATCCCAAGCCTTTTCTTTCCTCATCTGTTAAAATGGGCGTGTAAAGTAGGTATGATGAGCAGAGGTATCAACGATGAGGTATCAACGGCAGAGCTCTGAAACTCGGCACCAGGGAAGTTTCACACACGGAAGCCCCTGGGAACCACCTCCCAGACCCAGGCAGGTGCTTCCACCACACCAGAAGGTTGCCTGACCCACTCCCGCCCCCACCAAGTCAACGAGAGGAGGTTGTTCAACACGGCATGGAGCTCACTCAGCTCTACCAACAGTCAACAGCCCCGACTTCCCCCGTTTCTGATTTTATTAAAAATAATAATATAACTAACGAGAAACAAGAGCTTTCTCTTAGAGCCAAAGGCGGGCGTGCACTTGCCCTGCTATGAAGAGGGAGACAGAACAGCTTCCTCTCCCGCAACCTGCACCCCCCCCAGCTCCCCATGACAGACCAGCTCCAGCAGGCTGGCCCTCGTCACGCCGGCCCCCACTGACCTGCATGTCAGAGTTGGTGAAGCTGCAGGCCGACAGGTAGTTGGTGTGCATAGCGACAGACTTCTTTTTGGCAGCCATGTTTTCATTTTTGTCAAATGTCAGTGGATACACAGAACACTTATTATCCAAACCACTGGTATGGAAAGACAGAAGGGTCAAATGTTAATACAGGGCAATAGACTATATGCAGACTTTCTCACTCCCACAAACTTTTCAAAGTATTTTCCTCTAGCAGTATCGTATGTTGTAATTTCCCCTTCAACTTTGACTTTGAAGATTTTCAAATGTACAATAAAATTGAAAAAAAATTAGTACAAAGAAGCCCCAGACCCTTTCGCACAGGTTCACTAACTGAACATTTTGGTGTATTTGCCATGGGAGCAAACTTGGGACCATTTGAACACAAGTTGCAGACATGACATATTACATCTAAATACTTCAATTTGCAAATTCACATCACCTAAAAATAAGAATGTTCTTCTATGATCACAAACTCATGATTACATCTGAGAAAACTAACAAAGATTCTACAACACCACATAACACCGCATTCAGTCTTTCCCAACTGTCTCCAGGATCCAGGGCCCAATTAGGTACACACATTACATTCTGTTTTTATATCTTTTTAAGATCTTTTAATGAAGAACAGACACATTTTGCTGTCGCTCATGACTAGAGATCTTAGGTCAGTTAGTTGTCTTACAAATGTCACACACTCTGGATTTGACACACTGTTTCTTAATGGTTGTATGCAAGCGTGACACTTGTAGTAATAATATAAGTGTGGTATATAAAGGTGAGATTGTGCACTTCTTTTCCACCGCTTTACTTTAAGGGGCTTGCAATGCCTTAGCCCCAAGTCTGATGATGCCAACTTTGATTACTTGGTTAAAGTGGGAACCACGATATCTCTCCATGGTAAAGATGATCTGTTTGTAATTAGAGGCATACCTTGTTTTACTGTGCTTCACTTTATTGCATTTTTTTAAAAAAATTGAAGATTTGTGGTAATCCTGTGTCAAGCAAGTCTACCAAGTGCCATTTTTCCAACAGCATTTGCTCAGTTCGTGTCTCTGTGTCACTTTGGTAATTCTCACAATGTTTCAAATGTTTTCATTACTGTTATATTTGTTGTGGTGATCTGTGATCAGTGATCTTTAATGTTACTATCGTAATGGTTTTGGGGTGTCACAAACCAGGCCCGTATAAGATGGGGAACTTAATCAATAAATGTTGTGTGTGTTCTGCCTGCTCCACCACCTGGCTGTTCCTCTATCTGCCTCCTCCCTTCAGGGCTCCCTATTTCCTGAGACACAATAATTTTGAAATTAGACCAGTTCATAACCCTACAATGGCCTCCCAGTGTTCAAGTGAAGGGAAGAGTCACATCTCTCACTTGAAATCGAAAGCTAGAAGTAATTAAGCTTAGGGAGGAAGGCATATGAAAAGCTGAGATAAGCCAAAACTAGGCCTCTACACCAGTTAGTCGAGTTGTGAAGGCAAAGGAAAAGTTTCTGAAGGAAATTAAAAGTGCTATTCCAAGGAACACACGGATGATCAGCAAGCAGAGCAGCCTCACTGCCAATAAGGAGCAAGTCTGGGTGGTCTGGATAGAAGATCAAGCCAGCCACAGCATTCCCTTCAGCCACAGCCTCATCCAGAGCAAGGCCCTAAGCCTCTTCAATTCTATGAAGGCCGAGAGAGGCAAGGAAGCCGCAGAAGAAAAGACTGAAGTCAGTCAGTAGAGGTTGGTTCATGAGGCTTAAGGAAAGAGGGCATCTCCATAACATAAAAGTGCAAACGCAAGCAGCAAGTGCAGATGCAGAAGCTGCAGCAAGCTAACCAGAGGATCCAGCTCAGATCATTCATGAAGACAGTGACACCAAACAACAGATTTTCAATGCAGACAAAACAGCCTGTGTTGGAGGAAAATGCCTTCTAGGACCCTCATAGTTAGAGAGGAGAAGTCAATGCCTGGCTTCAAGGCTTCAAAGGACAGGCGGACCCTCCTGTTAGGGGCCAGTGCAGCTGGTGACTTGAAGTTGAAGCCAGTGCTCACTTACCATTCCCCAAATCCTAGGGCCCTTAAGAATTATGCTAAGTCTACTCTGCCTGTGCTCTGTAAATGGAACAACAAAGCTTGGATGACAGCACATCCATTGACAACATGGTTTACTGAATAGTTTAAGCTCACTGTTAAGACCTACTACTCAGAGAAAAAGATTCCTTTCAAAATATTACTGCTCATTGACAAAGCACATGGTCACCCAATGGCTCTGATGCAGACGCACAACGAGATTAATGTTGTCTTCATGCCTGTTGACACAGCATCCATTCTGCAGCCCGTGGGTCAAGAAGAAATTCCAACTTTCATGTCTTCTTTAAGAAATACATTTTGTGAGGCTATAGCTGCCACAGAAGGTGATTCCTCTGATGGAACTGGGCAGAATAAATTGAAAACTTTCGGAAGGGATTCACCACTCTCAATGCCATTAAGAACACTTGTGATTCTTGGGAAGAGGTCAAAATATCAACATTAATAGGAGTTTGGAAGAAGTCGATTCCATCCCTCACGGACGACTTGGGGGTGAGGGGTTTAAGACTTCAGTAGGGGAAGTAACTGTAGATGTGCTGAAAACAGAAAGAGATTTGGTATTAGAAGCTGAGCCTCAAGATGGGGCTGAACTGCTGAAATCTCAGGATGATACTTTAATGCATGAGGAGTTGCCTCTTACGGGTGAGCAGAGAAAGTGGTTTCCTAAGACAGAATCTATTCCTGGTGAAGATGCCGTGAAGGTGACTGAAATGACAACAAAGGATTTAGAATATTATACAGACTTAGCTGACATACAGTGGTGAGTTTTGAGAGGATGGACTCCAATTCTGAAAGACGTTCTACTGTGACTGTAATTTCATCAGACAGCACTGCACGTGACCGAGAAACTGCTTGTGAAAGGAAGAGTTGATGGATATGACAAACTCCACTGATGTTTTATCTTAAGAAATACTGACAGCCACCCCAAGCTTCAGGAACCACCATCTTGCTCAGTCAGCAGCCATCCACACTGAGGCAAGACCCTCCACCAGCAAAAAAAATTATGACTTGTTGAAGGTTCAGATGATGGTTAGTATTTTTTAGCAGTAAAGTATTTTTTGATTAAGGTACACACATTGGTTTTTTGGACACAATGCTATTGCACACTTAACAGACTCCAGGAGTGTAAACACAACTTTTACATGCCCTGGAAAACCAAGAAATTTGTGTGACTCACTTTCTTGTGATATTCGCTTTATGGCAGTAGTCTGGAACCCAACCCACAGTGTTTCCAAGGTACGCTTGTGATGACACTCTGGTGTGACACTTTTAGGACACGTGACTACCCTGTTCTCAGAAACCATTATACAAACGGCTTTAGCATGATTATCCTTGTTTGAGTAAAATATTACTTTATGGGTACAAAACAGTGATCTTCTAATCTGGTAATTCCGTCTGCATTTATTAGCTGATACTTTTCTGCTCACTTGGATTCTTTTTTCTCTTCAACTGTGCTTTGATCCAATACTACCATCATCCCATGTAATGCTGAAATTGTCACAACTCTGGACAGTGAGGGCCTCTTCAAAGGGCTCCTTATTCACTGATAAGACTTGAATATTCCCTTGTTTTCTGGAACAAGAAAATATCTGGAGCTCACTTCATTCTCTTCCTGTCCTAGACCTACAAGCAGTCTTACTCCAGGGAGCCCTGCCTCCATTTAGCAGGAACGATGTTGAGGAGGGGCACTCTCTCCAGAGGCCTGGGGAAGCTTGGGGACCCCTTTGCCTTTCCAATTGCTTGGAGGTGCAGGTGTAGATGTGGGTAGTCTATTACCAGCAGTTAGCTTTGGCGAGCTTGTTTATAGATCATGTGGGTGGGAGTGCTCTGCACTTGGCTGTGACAATGAACCAGCATGCACCAGACCATGCGCTTTCCTGATCCTCCAGGCGAAAACAGTTCTCTGAAGCTTCGGAGTAATTCCTGTCGCTCGGTTGGGATACTCACACCGTGGGTTATTTGCATTGCTATGAGAAGCAGAAAAGCCCTGTGGTGCGATGCACCAGGTACTGAATCTCTGCTTTAGTACCCAACTCATTTTGTGGTCTTGATTACGTTTTTAGGTTCTCTGAGCTTTCAGTGTCCTTAACTATAAAATGGAGTAGACTCCACCCACCCATGACAAGGGGCTGTTGTGAAGATTACACAGAGTTCAGTATGGGCCCCCAATGCATGACAGAGGCTCAGTAAGTGGTCATTAGTGTTATTTTAATACTCTTGCTTGGAGGCAGGTACTATGTTTCATGCATCTTTGAATCCCCCTAGGACACCCAGAATAGTGCTTTGCACACAGGTGCTCATATCAGTGCACAATACCTGAATAAAGGCTTCCTGGGGATATGGCTTCAAATAAAAAAATACATACATATGTATATAAAATCAATTGGCACTTTTTTTGAGAAGTGGATTGTGTAAATACTAGTGTAGTTTTAGCTTTCGAGTTTGGAGCCAACTAAGAGATAGACCCAGTAGTCAGGCAGATGAAGATAAACCCACCCCTGTCGTCGCCTGTACAGACATTCAGAGAACGTGGCATAGGTGTGGGCCTGTGTGATAAGGGAGTTACAGGGATGTCAAAGCCATGGCTGGGAAACACTATGCGAGATTATCACTGGAAACTCAAATGAATCACAGTTGCTCTTAACGGTTCTAGGAAAGGTCTGAGCAGGGCAGAGGGTGCAGTCTTTCTCAGTTTAGTTTTTGAAGCTCTCTCCTCACCCACTGGACTCCCCATATTTTAAAAAATGCTTTCATAAATATTCACAACTTGAACGTCTTCTGCTTTGGTTTTTACATCAACCTGCGAGGCAGCCAGCGGAGGTCCTGACCTTCTACCACCTGCCAGGGTCCAGATGACTGAGATTAAAGAACCAGCCATCCCTCTGCTCTGCACTCTCTGCATCAGGGTGTCACCAGGAAGCTGTCTACCTGGGCTTTGTAAAATTCTTCCACTGGGTTTCATTTAGTGAGGATTAAAATAAGAAATAGCCTACAGAATCATTTTCTAAACTACTGTTGAAGACATTGTACACTATGGTTATCATATTCATTGCACATCGCAGGAGCTACCCAATATATTCTTTTTCTAATTTGAAATTAGATCTCTGATATCTCAATCTCAAATGTTGATAAATTTATATAACCCACCCAACTCTATGCATTTGCTAGAATTAATGCCCAATTAGAAACATATTACCCTAGGGTTTTTTTTTTAATGTAGAATATTTATTATTCCTACTGAGTAGTGAAGAATTGACCTTACTTAATAAGAGGTCTGGCTTTGCCCTCAGCTACTGGGAGGTGATCCCTAAGCTCCTGAAATGCTCTGCCTGTTGGGGGTGTCTTTGTTTGCCTGGGGCTTTGGCTACTGGACAGTCTAACACTGTGATTTATGATGGGAGCTTTGGGACGCATCCTATGAGTTCTGACCTCTGGAGGAAGTGGAGATTTAAGGTATTAGCCTGACCTCCAGGAGAGACTGGAGCCTCAAGGTCAGCCGTGGGCAGTTTGTGATGGAGTCCCGCCAAAACCCTGGACACCGAAGGCTCTGGTGAGTCCTCCCCGTAGGCAATACTCCGACTGTGGCCAGGAGGAAGGAACGCCACCTGTGACTTCACAGGGAGGGGACGACTGGACATTCCACGTTTGGACCCCTCCCGGACTCTGCCCCCTGTACATTTTCCTTTTCTGGTTCTAATTTGTATCCTTTCATTGTGATAAAACTGTGATAAAAATGAGAGTTAAGCAGAGCACTTTCCTGAGTTCTGTGAGCCTGATGGTGATTGTGGGGAAACTGGCTGGTGGCTGAACTGGGGGGAGCCTTGTGGGGCTGCACCTTGTAACCGTTCAGTGGGCCGAACTCCTCCACACCACCTTGTAATTGTGGCGTATGTATATAAATGTGTTAGATGTATGTGTGTTTACAGCTGTATCTTTATCTATATTTATATGTGTGTGTCTTTTATTGTGGTCACTTCCTTTCAGGAAGTAGATGGGGATACATTTTATCTAAATACTACCTTCCAGTTATAAAAAGAAGATACAATCTACTTTTGAGTTATTTAAAAAATTTGAAAATATGAAATATATGTATGTAAGCAATGTCTCCAAAGGCACACAGGGTCTCAGCAAGTGTGAGAGTGGGAAGTTGCCCCCAAGCAGTCATCCAAAGGGAGGTGACACCAGGGATGATGGCTGGTGTGACTCTGGCTGGAGAAGGCGCCAAAGGTTTTGCTTGGAGGCCCAGGCTTTTCATATTTGAAATAAAACTCACTTCTCTTGATCATAAAGATAACATATGCTTATTTTTAAAAACTGAAAATAGACAAAATTATGATGAAGAGAAAAATACCCATAGTCCCATCATCCAGAAAGAACTACTGTTGTGTTTTTGGTATAATTCATCACAGCCTTTATACTAATGCCTCTTCTCTAAATATGGTTGAGATCCTACTATGGAAATATTTTGAATGGTCTCAAAATTGTTTCACATAGGGACAGAAAATTATGTTGGCTGAAGTTCTCACAGCCAACTCTGTTAAACTGAGCTCCAGGAGAACAGAGATTAATAATGAAAATTTTCCTAAGAATCTTGACACTCTTCAATTATCATAATTAAGAATTTTTCATTTTTAATGGCTATATAATATTCCATCCAATTCATGTATCATAGTTCACTTAACAATATCCTTTGATGGACATACTGTTTCCCCTTTTTCTTTTTTGCTTTATTTTAAATAATGCTACAATACGTGTTATTGTTTATACGGTTTTTCTATATTTTTGGATCATTCTTTTCAAACATTCTTAGATGTGGAATTACTAGGTCAAGGGTTATATATTTTCAAGGCTTTTGATATACATTACCAGCATGCTTTCCAAAGAGCTTGCACCAATTTATAGTCCCTGCCAACATCATTTGAGAGTGGAGAGGATAGGTTTGACACTTACACTACAATCAATCTGTAATGATAATAACTATGAAATACTTTTTGTAGTTTTTTTCTTTGATAAAATTCAGAGAGGATTACACACTGCTTAAATAAACAACAGAAATTACAAGTTCTTATTTGCTTGCTTGTTTCTGTCCACAGAGGAGTCCTGCATGGCTAAGAGGACGTGTGAGAGGCTGCTGCCGCCTGACTTACCCGCATGCAATGGCACATCCCGATGGGGCGTACGCACACGCCATCACCCACGTGCAGGGCATGGTGACCGCGTGCTCCTGAAACACAGCACACACCGTCACAGAAGGAACGAAGGGTGCTTCTACACAAATGTCAACTCTTACAAATAAAATCACTGGAGCTTCTATTAAATCACATTCTAGTTTCAAAGGGCAGTGGAGTGGGGTAAAGACTGGCTCAATACCCACGAGGAGACCCAGCTTCCCTATCATCAACCAAACTTTATGTCATATATTCTGACAGTTAAAAATCTCAACCAGCAAAACAACAGCCTCA